TAATAATATCTAGAACAAAACAATATTTGCTTATTACTTACTACATACTAGGTGCAATGCAAAGGTCTTTGAATGTATTGCTTTCCTTAATCCTTGCAAGGCTCTATAAAGTAGCTTTACTGTGGCCCTCCTGTTTTACAGATAAGGAAACAAGTTAAGTGGTTAGTTAGTTCTAGGTTTCACACAGTGGTTGAAAATATGAGTTTGTAAGACAGGCTACTGTGATGACCATGTTTTAATCAGTATACTTTGTGGCAACACATTTTAGTTGTATTTGAAATAAGATGGAGAGAAAGGCACAGATCACCTGTTGCATGAGGATCAATCATCTCAGTAGTCTTGGAGTGGTACGGGATATGCACTCATCCACTTCAGCTTGTGTTTCTCAAGAAAGGCATCTGGCCAAGCAGCCCTGCAGAAGGAATCTTTGCTTCCTTTCAGTCTCTTTCATTCTTGGGATCCTGCAGCCATCAGTCAGTTCCCTGACAGTCTCACTAAACACACTCCTTGGGTTCATTTGATTTTCCAGCCTAGGTGTAAAGCTTGGGAACCTCAGATTGAAGCAGATGGTCCTAGGAGCCAAGGTAAACCTGCAAGTGCAAACTAAGACTGTTACCGAAGCTAAAGAGAAATGTAACTACACCACTGAACACTTGTTAAGATTTATTGGTCCATTCTCACCACTTTTTATTTCTTCCACTTTCATCTCCATCAGTAGCTATCAGTTAGTGATCAATTTTCAGCTGAGACCAGCAGACTTAGCAGTCCACTAATGGTAGAGCTGAGAGGGCAGTGGGATCTTCTATGCTGAGCTGTAACCCCAGCCACTTCGACAGGGAAATTGTTTTTCAGGATTTTACACTGCCATTTCTGTTCACCCTTTAATGAATGCTTTCTGTCCATAAATGAAGCAGGGATGGAAAGGGGTAAATAAGTGCTAACATAAATTGCAGTGGGTCAACCACAAATATAGGCTTTCAAAAAAGGTTCTTTTTTATTTCTATTTTTTGTTGTTGTTGTTTTAGTGTGGGTTAAGGTGCTGGCTGATTTCTAAAGTACTTCCTGGGTTTGATTAGTATGTCTGATGCATTAAAAATTGCCACTGCAAACCTTTATTCTGTAATCCATGCTTCAGAGTAGAAGGTCCCTTTCAAAAATGGATAAAGATCACAAGATAATGTTTGTGTCTCACCATTATATGTCCCTTACTGACTCACCAGTCACCTGCTAAGTAATGGATATGAAAATTGAAATAAGCAGGCTCTAAAAAGCTATAGTTGACCTTTACTTTTAGTCTGGGGGCACATGAGTTTCTTTTTTGGTATGATTAATTGCTATAAGAGAAAATTAGCAAATAATGAGAAAGCACACTTGCACTGTACATACTGTGCTTGTGTAAGAAACTACACATGGCTTTGATATATATACACACTCCAGTTCATTTCCACAATCCTGAATCTTGTTCAGGAGCTGGAAAGACTGTATGGTCAGCCTGATTGTTTTTCTAAATGTTATGTGTACTCTGTTGCCTTACAGCTTGGCTTTGGATCATTCCTTGGAATCATTGGATCAAATCTTATTGAGAACAAACGGCAGATGGTAAGTGTACATCCCTCAAGAAAGCTCACCGCTTATGTGGATAAGGAACACATCTTTTAAGCTTGTGCAAATTTGGTCACAAAAAACTATTACTTCACCTTTTCTCCTAAGCCTCCAGAGAATTTGTCTCACAGTCTGGGATTAGTTTGCACCTTGCCCAGTGTTCCATCGTTAACATACCCAGTGTCTTTAAGCTTTCTTCTTCATTCTCAAAGGAGTGTTTCAGCCTGTTCAGTCAGGCTGTTGTCCTTGCCTAGAATGCTTGTGTTTCTGTGATATCCATTACTGTAGTCCTGAATTATTAGCAACTTTCACATCTTCTGTTCGTATACATAATCTTTTTGAAAAGCTTTCACAAAGGTTGCTTTCTTTACCTTTTAGGAGATTAAAATCCAAGAGACTTTGATTAAGAAAAATATAAGATGGACATGGTGGTGCTTGCCTCTAAAACCAGCACTCAGGAGGTAGAGGCAGGAGGATCAGGTGTTCAAGATCATTTTCTAATACTTTCTGAATTAAAGGCCAGCCTGGGCTACATGAGAACTTGTTTTAAAACAAAATTAAAACAAAGCAAAAACTAAAAAAGACAAAGAAAATAAATGTACTTGAGACATAGAACAGACAAAATAAAATTATGAAGTCAACTTAAAGATCTTTGTTATCCATCATTCAAAGCCAAGTGTTTGTATAGTTGAAAGGAAGGATTAGCACTTAACTGAAAGTGTGGCTTAAAAAGTTGAGTGTCTTAGTGGGATCCCTAAAGGCAAGCTGATGTATTTTCCTGGTTGAATTTTGAGAAGGTATCCTTGAGGACAAGGGTAGAAGGTATAGTCCAAATTGCAAGTACATTACAGCTTTATAGACTTGTAAATCAAGAAGCTTGGTGAGTGGTCAGATGGTGTACTGATTAAACTCCCCTTTTACAAGTGTCTATGGCATCCAAACTTTGATAATGGGGTCTGTTAAACAGCTAGTTTAATCAAATAGTATCCTCTAGGGACAGAGAATTCTAACTATATGTTTTCCCCAGCAACATGGGAATCACTGTCAGGGGAGTTCTAATAGTTTCTTCTTCCATTTCACCTGGACTCCATCCCCTGCCAGTTGTGTTTTCACTTTGGGCTTAAATTATTCAAAATAATGGCAGAGTTTTAATTGTAGAGCTGATCATAGCATAGCTAATAATGCCAATTTCATGACATCATTCATCCATTATTTACCAATTATCTGCAGTGCTGTGAAGTGAGATTTATGGAGAGAGGTTTCTGAACAACTCCCAAAGGAGATAAGTATTTCCTCTCAGCCTGTTGAAGTGGGAGAGCCCTAGGGTGTTTTTGGCTTTGATTTTTTTCCTTCTCCCTGGGGAATAGCTTGATGCCATGTTATTTCCTCCTCTTTCTCCCCAAAAACCTCAAGAAAGAAAAATGCTGATTCCGTGTAGTTATGAGAGTCAACCATGGCAGATGGTGGCTCATATATCAGTTTTCCTTGGCTCTGGAGACATCTAGAAACAATTATACCCCCACACATTGGGTTGCATCATTGTCTTGGTAATGGAAGACACACTTTAGGAAAATTTGTTCTCTAACATAATTAATGAATAGGTCAACCTGGTTTAGCAAACATTTTGTTACTTAAAAGTTTCTAGCCAGACATGATGGTACATGCCTGTAACCTCAGCCACTGGGAGGCTGAGACAGTAGGATAAGAAGTTCAAGGCCAGCCTTAGCTACATAGCGAATTTGAGGTGAGCCTGGGTTGCATGGGCCCCTGTCTCAAAAAATTTTAAAACAGGAAGAGAAAATTTCTATATATGCCACACATAATCAATCTATTCAAGAGTCTTCAATCCTTGTAAAACACCTTTGACACTTAAGTGCCAATAGGTTGAATGCCCTCTTTCTGCAGTGATGGAGAATGTGATATAGGATTATGTAGGACCGAAGAATCATTCTTGTCATCATCAGTGCCCACTAAGTCTTCAAGTAGCAGAGTTAGGGAGTGCAAAAAGCACAGGATGAGGAGTTGGTGAGTACCAAGTTCATCCATAGACTAGATTGAGACTCTGAACACACCATTCCCCCTCACTGTGCCTCCATTTCCACATAAATAAAATATAGGATTGGATCACATGATGTCCAAGGTCCAACATTTTTCTGAATCTGAGGATGGAAGGGCTATGCAGTCAAATTCTTCCATGGACAGCATGCTGGATACCAGCAAGCTTCTTCTTCATTTGGTGCTCACAGAATGAATTTCTTAGCTTTCCCTGAAAATATAAAAAACTGCTTCAGTTGCCCCTTCTCTCCCTCCCTGCCTACCCCCATGCCCACTCATCCTGCATGACTGAAAAATGCATCCCCCTCAGTGAGAGGCTATTGACTTCTGCTTTGGCTGACAGTCTCTTGGGGGATCACCTAGTCTCCAGAAGCAGCAACAATGGAAAGATAACAGATATTTTTATTTTGTTCTTTTTTGCAGCTGGTGGCCTCTATCGTGTTTATCAGCTTTGGTGTGATTGCAGCTTTTTGCTGTGCCATCGTTGATGGGGTCTTTGCTGCCAGACACATTGTGAGTATTATCAGCCCTGAGTTGAAGTAAATAGGCAACACTGCAAGCCTCTATTGAATATATGCTGAGTGCTTTCAAAATTGAATATACGCTGAGTGCTTTCAGAGCCATGCCTGTACAAGGCAGAAGGGAGGATCCTTTTCTTCAATGACAGTCAAGAACATCAATAGACAACACAAGCATCTAGAAAACTGGGTCTAAACTGGATGTATAAACTCCAAGTACCATAGTGGTTCATCTTGGACTCCGGAGAACAGAGAAGGCTTCCCAGTGGCGATAGAGCTAGACCTAGCCCTTTGGCATATAAGATTTGGAAAGACAAATAGGAGGGCAGTCAGGGAGAGGAATGACTTGGAACTAGTCTTGGAAGTAGAGAAAGAGCAGCAGGAATCCACATGACTTCTTGAAAGCATGGAAGGTTCCCAAGACCAACCTCCCCTTCAATAACTATAAGAATGGACTATGAGGACAAAGTCACCTTTCTCATGCACCTAAAGATTGCTGTTCCTCTAACAGTGTTGGAATGTAGTGATGTGCTTTGAGATCTGTAGAAAGTCTACAGCGAAAGCCCACACCCAGACCCTAGTCCTTTAGTCCAGATGTCAAATGTTTCCCACTCTAGAGAAGATGTGCTTTGAGTAAGGACAATTTATTCCTAGTCCCAAATCTATGATCCTTAACTGGAAAAGTATGAGACTAAGAACATTCTTATCATTGTTAATTTCATATATGTATATAATGTATTCTTATTACTCTCCTCACACCCTCTTTTATCTCCCTCCCATCCCTGTCCATGCCCTCTCCTCACTGTCTGTCCCTTGCCCAAATTCATGACTTTTGGTTTTGTTTGTGGCCCATTTAAATTGACAACATCTGTGTGACCATTGTATTGGGACTATCTGTTGGAATCTAGTGACATCATCAGTATGTACACAATGGAAAGCAATGGCTCTCCCTTTCCCTGAATTTGTTGGTAGGAAATAGCTCAGCAATGAGGGTTGGAGCTCCCTGGGCTCCTCCTCCATCTATGGCTTGCTGCTGATTGGCCCATTCTTCTGCAGACCCAGTGAAGTCAACCACTGTTGTTGAGAAATGTGTATTGTACAGAATATGGCATTTCACAGCCCTTCTCTTTATTTTCTGGCTCTTAAATTCATTCCACCTCTTCTTCCTCAACATTTCCTGAGTCTTAGAGAAGATAATATAAATGTCCTGTTTAGGGCTGATAATTCAGTTATCTGTTATTTACAGCACCTTGTGCAGACATAAGGCTTCTGTGATAAAAGTCTGAGAGTGATAATTGCCTATGGGCATAAACATGTATTTAGAAGGTGATTCCTTGATAGGTCAGTTTAGCTGAACAACAGAATTAAGGTCTCCTCTCAGGCCTGCAACCCTCCACCATGGGCTTTTAAGCAGATTTGCAAGTATAGATTCTCTCTTGTAAAGTGGGCTTCAAATCAATTAAAGAACAGTTGGTTACTCCCATAACAGTCATTCCACTATTTCACAAGTGGGCACATCTTACCTGGCAGGTTGGTATTGCAGTGCATAGTATTTACAGCTAGGTAAGACCACTGATGACTTTTCTTACACACACACACACACACACACACACACACACACATACACACCACCACCACCATTCAACATAGCACCTTCTGGCCCTTGTCCTTCTTTTAACATGTCTGTTTCACACTGTTTCAGATTTCTGGCCCAGGGTGAAGTTTTCCATGAATTATAATAAGCATATTGCTTAGAACTCATAGTACTTTTAGGGTCCCCACCCCAAATGGCATTATTTCTTCACAAATGAAAAGAAAATAGTGTACTTTTAGGTTAAACAATTCTGGCATGTAACATAAATATATTTGTGTTTGGGGGCTGGAGACATGGCTCAGTGGTTAAGAGCACTGGCTGCTCTTGCAGAAGACCTGGGTTCAAATCCCAGGACACACATGACTGCAAACAACCATCCGTAACCCCAGTCCAGAGGATTAGATGCCCTCTTCTGACCTCTGTGGGCATTGTGAGACACAGGTGCACTTACATACATGCAGGCAATACACTTATACACATAAAATAAAAATAATAAATAAAATATTTTAAACATATATATTTGTTTTTTTATAAATGTACTCAGAAAATGGAGGAGTTTGGGGAAGAGGATGAATGTGATCAACACACACTGTAAGAAAATCTGAAAGACTTAATAAAAACAAGTCATACCTTAAAAAATATCTTTTTAATGAAAGGAGGCTAGAAAGACAAAAGAGCCTTGTTGCTAATAAATCATAAAGTCACCATGATGTGGATCACAGACTAAAATAAAGAGCAAGATATAACATATTACAAAGACCTTACAACAAACTCAAACATACGTTTCATCAACTGAACTAAACTTGAAGATGAAAATGTCTCATAAACTACTGGAAATTATATTTTCTAAAATAATTGAGTTAGAATAAAATTAAATTATAAGGATTTTTGTGGGCCAAATAGCATGTTACCGCATTTTAGTTATTGACTAATTTTTTCAGGTCATTTGTAGGAGTATCAAGTATGTGACTAGATCTGGTTCAGGATAATTTGAAACATCAGTATTCTATTTGAGCTTCTTCTTGGATTCTCCTTGTAGACAGAAGAGTTAGTCCATTAATTTGCCAAGATTAAATGGTCAATGCTGTCACCTAAGCAGTCTCTGAAATACTATCCCGGGATATAATTTTTAGGCAGAGAGAAAAGTAAGCAGTGTTTTTTTTCCCCTGATTTTCTTTGAGGGCCAGGAACATAAATATTAGCCTATCTACCAGGGCAATGCATTCTGATTTTAGCTGAGAGAGGTATCATTTTTTTAAAAAAGTCATTTTTTGGTTCATAAATAACATAGCAGTAACTCCTAACAGTCACTATTCTACCTCTTAACACAGCAATTCTTATGGTCTTTGCATATTATTCTCTGAATATATACATATTTGTGTAGCATTGGCTATAGTCAATCATAGCATGCTATTCTGTATTCAAGAGGAACTATCTTAATAACACTAATTTCTTGTTTTTGTGCAGTACATTTAGCTTTTCAATGCATCCTCACATCTATTATCTCATTTGAGACCCATAGCAATCCTGTGAGATATGTAGGGCAGGCATTATTATCCCCATTTGACAAGCAGTATTCACTCTGAGACAGTTTCCATGGCAACACAGGCCTAGTGGCTAACAAGCCTGCAGTAGATTTTGATGGCATCATGAACTAAAATGGCTTCCTTTTCCCTCTTTTTCTTCCACTTTTAATATTTTAAAAACATTATTGAAATACAGTTTATACCCCCTACAACCTGCTCATTTATAGAGTATAATTTAGTGTTTCCTAGTATATTCACAGTTACGTGCAATATCAATTTTTAATTTTTGTTGTGTCAAAAAAAATTCCACATTTTTTACACATTTTATCATATATCCCCATCCTTCCCATCCCTAAGCAATCACTAATATGCTTTCATTTTTAATAGATATTTCTATTCTAGACATTTCATACTAAAAGAATTCTGTAATATGTGGACTTTTGTGATTGACTTCTTTGACTTAGTGTAATGTTTTCAAGGTTCATCCAGGTTATCATAGATTATTGCTTCATTCCTTTTTATGGTATAATAAATAATTAATTGTGTATATAGTACATTTTGTTTGTCCATTCATCAGTAATGTTTGTGGTTATTTCTGACATTTTCCTATTATGTATGATAATGTTATTAACATTTGAGAACATGTTTCTGAATAGGTCTGATTTCATTTTCATTTCCTTTTCACCCAGGAATGGCATTGCTAGGACATGTGATAACTATATTTAATTGTTTGAAGAACTGCCAGACTGTTTTCCAATGTGGCTGCACTGTGTGTGTTATACTCTCACCAGCAATGTATGAGGATTTGGATTTGTTCACATCCTCACCAATTCTCAATGTTATCTAATTTTGCTATTGAGTTGTGAGGCAGTATATCTTGGTTTAGATTTGCATCTCCCTTGTGTCCCTAACATTTTTGAGCACTGGTTCAATGAAAGGCAATGGTGAAAAATTACAAGCTCTATTTACTGGACGATTCCCTGTACTTTTCCTGTTGCTATGTTACAGTATCTTGGCAAAAGCAGCTTAAGGAAGGAAGGAAGGAAGGGTTTACTTTGTCTCATAGTTTGAGGGTATATACAGTCCATCAAGGCAGGGAAGTTGTGGTGGCAGGAGCTTGAAGTAGCTGGTCACAGTGTATCTGCAGTCAGGAAGCAGGGAGAGATGAATGCTGGTACTTGTCACACTTTCTCCTTGTTCAGTGCAGGACCCCAGCCCAGGGAATGGCACTGCTGTCCTTTGGGGTAGATCTTCCCTCATCAATTAGCCTAACTAAAATAATCCCTCACAGGCATGCCCAGAGGCTAACATAATCTAAATAATCCCGCACAGATGTGGAGGCTTGTCTCCTATTCACCTCTGGGCCTAAAGCCTTTTGTATGTTCTCCAGTTAGTGACTTACTATAGCATTTGATTCAGTAGATTTTAATGGCATTGTGTCATGATGCTGTTAAGCCACAGATCCTCTATCTAGTTGCTTTTCTGTCCCAGAAATCAGGCCGCACTCCCATGCAGACTTTCTCTCTGGACAGAAAGTTGATAAGAAAGTATGCTATGACCTTGGAGCTCCCATAGTGTTGACTTCTCTCCTTCTCCCTTGCAGCTTCCAGCAAGCCCAGCTTTCCCTGATGCCCAAACCTGACACCTTTGAATTATAACTTTTCTCAGTGCCATGTCATTTCTAGTACATGTCACATGATGTGGAACTTGCCCCTCTCCACCTCAGAAAACCTGTGAGAATAAGAAACTCTTTGACCTACAGAACTGAATGGTCTGTGTCCCTACAGCACCCTACATGGCTGCCTAAGGTCATGATTCGATCTGTACTAATAATGCTCTCCTGTGGAGGGTAATTAGTCTTCGCTTCCTTTCTACAAACCTGATTTCTTTTAGTTACAACAGATGCTAGGGGATAAAGCTAGCTAAATCTTTGCAGAAATGTTTCTGCTAACACTGAAGGATAATCAGCAGTTGTCATTGGCATGTAAATCATTTTGGGGATGGGAGCTTTATTAATGTATCATATCAATTATCCAACTTAAATAAGGACATGTTTAGATCCTAGTACAACTTAGGTGGGTTAGAGCCAGCCTGTCTTGTTATTGAGGCCCTTTAACATCATCTTACCATGATTCTTTGGCTTAACCTGAAATTTCCCAAGGCCTACTTTCTGGCACATCCCTTTAATGCATATTGTTCTTTCTCTTTCATGTCTTGTGTTCCCTTTCTTTCCCCATCTTCACACCTATGGCCATTAACTAAGTGGAAAAGTTTGCTTTCTTGTACCACAGTTTCTTTTTCTTTCGAATGTATATAATAGTAACCTATTTTTCAGGATTAGAAAGAGAGTGAAATTAAATAGTGGGTATGAAACATGTCCCTTTGGACCTGGCACAGAGTAGACATCCAACATATAGCAGTATCCCTTTACATTCTTTCTTGCCAAAATTGAGAGCCCTTCAGGCTAAAGAGGTTACAAGCACTGATGGAGTGACCTTTTCTCACCTCTGAATTGCCTGGTCCTGCTCTCCTTCTGGGGCTTAAGTGTAGAGTAGCAGCCAGAAACAGCAAGTAGGCAATCATTCTGTATGGCTATTTTTGTTTAGAGCAAGTAGTGGCTGAATGGCTTTTGCAAAACCAGGAGGTCACAGGGCAGTGACCAGAAGCATGTCAAGTCTCTTCTTCAGCACAATAATAATGTGTCTGTTGTTACTCTAATGTGGAAAATAAACTCTGCCAGCTGTGAGCATGAGAATCCTTTCCAATCTGACACTAGACTGAATTAACAGCAATGCTCTTTTGTAACACTGGACAGCAAAGATATTCATGTAGAAGGAGCTGATGGAAACTTCAAGGTCATTGATGGGGGGCACTGGATAGGAGACAAGAAGTACTCAGTGCCTAGCCCATGGGATTCTAAATCATATGTATGGGGGGGGAAGTACCCACTAGGATTAGAAATGGCAAAAGAAGCAAGGGCAGAAGCAAAAAGGGAAAAGAGAAATTTCGTTTGCTTGGACACTTTGAAATAAACCCTTAAGGCCAGTTTGCATAGGCCACTGTCTTAGACTAACTTGGCCAAGGACCTCCACTATAAAAGGTATGCTTAGCATTAGTTCTGAAAATGACAGCACCCTCTGGTTGCAAGTCTCCAGACATATCTGACTTGTTTCTGTCTCTTCTTCCCAACCCTCATACCTTGAGAGCTCGTTTATTGGAAAACTTAGCACAGGATAAATCGGCAGTTCTGCAGACCCACATTAATTGTTTTTGTTTTGCCTTAGAAATAGTTTTGAAGTTCATTGACTTTATCTAGTCTATATAGGTGAGTGAAAACGGCTTGTAGTTCAGTTGAGTTCAAATTTCCAGCAGGTTCCACTGCTGCCCATCCTCCAGGGGCTAGCTTCTTCAGCTCTTCCTTTTGAAAAGTCTATGGAAATGACAGCAGGGAGTACAAATGAGCCAGCCCTCATGTAGTCCCCAGGTGATAATGAGACCTTGGAGCTGATGCTGTGCTCTCTCCATTTGGAAGTGTAATGTTGCAATAACCTGGGGTTTTGAATCTTCCTCCTTAAGGACTGTTTGCAAGAAGAAAAAGACTAGAAGTAAAAGGAAACAGAGGGGAAATTTCAAGAAACTAATTTTTCAATCAGCTTTCCTAGTTTCTCATTATTCGAAGTGGTCCAACAGAAAGCAGCTATTAGAATGTTTTTGCCTGATCCTTACATTCTCTGCCTCCCTAGATGGGTAACTTTTAGAAATTAATCTGACCTACTGCTTGTGTGTGCACGTATGCATGCATGTGTATGTGTGTGTGTGTGTGTGTGTGTGTGTGTTTGTATGTGTATGTGTATGTCCTTCATTAGCAGGCGGAGTTGATATTTTCTTTTCCAAAGCCCAAACACCTTTGATTTGGTGTTTCCTTTTACAGGATCTGAAACCACTCTATGCTAACCGGTGCCACTATGTTCCTAAGACATCCCAGAAGGAAGCTGAGGAGGTGAGTTGCAGTGATGCTGCATGTCTTTATCTCATGAAAAAGTGTCTTGGTCATCTGAAGCATCTTTTCTTTATTACTTCTTTCCACAAGCCTAAGATTTACTGCTAGGTGTTTTGAGCTATTTGTCCAGTGGGTCAGAGCACAGTGCTAATGAGACCATGTCATAGATTGGAGCCTTGTGAGGCATAATCAGATTTATTTTGTTTTGTGGACACAGGCTGTCCCTCTGACCATACCCAGCAACCTCTCACTGTGTGGCTTTGATCCCAAGAGGGGCAGGTGAGAGAACAGACTGTTTCCCTTCCCAATCTCTGTTGATGATGATTCAGTTGCCTGGACTTGGTACCCAGCTGGAAGAAGGTGGGAACTCCATCAGGACACTTGGCCTGGGCTAAGAAAGCAGAGCTTGAGTCCTACACATGGAAAAGGCCTGCAGGCTAAACGAGGGTAACTTATCAACCGTGGTCTATCTCAAGCCTCTAAGAAAGTCCAGATGGCCAGCCTGGCCCTTCTCATGGTGCCTCCGAGAGTCCAGCTTAATACTCCTTGAGTAGGACCGTGAGAGTATTTCTTTTCTGCCCTGTACATGTTTGCTCCTTATGTCCTCAGAGCTAGAGGCAATAGCAGTAACAACATTTGTGGGACACTTTCCTTTCCGTACACCATAATCACTTCTTGATCAAAAGATCTGTCACAAAAAACTTTACCTATGTTTCTGAAAACTATGACAAGTTGGTACTCTATTAATCTCAAAATGAAAGTCATTCACTCTGAGAATGGTTTGAAAAAGAGCACACTTGTGATTAGAAAGGGAAAAAGAAACTGAGATGAGACAAAATGGCCACTGCATCACACAACGTCAGGGGAAGCCATTTTACTTAAAAGACAACATTAATGGTGCCCTTGGAGTTAGATAGAATCATAGTCTTGCTCCCAAGGCATCATGTCAAACGTTTTTATTAGTGTTCTGCCATCCACTTACTCCCCTCTTTTGCTAGGTACCACAAAATTGCCATTTTTTTCTAACTCTTCCTGCTTTAGAAGGAAGAATAGAAATGTGTATGTGCTAACAGCATAATCAGAAGGCAATAATAGGCATTTGGAGAAAAATGCCTGCTTACTGTGAATATTTTTTGCAACAAAGCTAAACAAATATAAAAACACTTCACTACACCCAAGTAGGAGAGGTAACCCAGAAAACTTGCAAGCAAGAGAAGGTAATTTGAAGTTATTACTTATTTTTCAGTTTTGAAAAACATTTTATAAACTCAAAATGTGTAAACTCAAAACCATTATAGCTCTTCTCCTGATTTCATTGTGATATCTTTCTTATGTTAATCTGTTGACAGTAAAAAATGTTGATAATGGCTTGGACATGCTGGCTTATAATTTTGGTTACACTAATTCTGTTTTTCTTGTGTAAGATCATAAGCTCCACAACCAAACTTTCTACTTCCACGAGACTTATGAAGAACCTTACCCAGGCAGCTAGAGAGGTAGCATTGTACTTCAGTATGCATGTGATAGCCCGTGTGGCTTACTGTCCACATGATCCTCTTTCCTCCTGTGTCTTGATTTTCCTCTTACATCCTCATATCCTAATGTCCATTTAATATTCCATTTGTCCTTCCTCTTTTCTATCTCTACCCCTTAGGAATGGGGCACTAAAGGCTGTGGCTGTGGCTGAACAAAATCCCAGCCACACAGGGAGTTGCCTTATGCACAAATATGGCCACTTCCCTGCCTAGCCCCACCTTTCTTGTGTGTGTGTGTGTGTGTGTGTGTGTGTGTGTTTTCATTCCACAGCCATCCTTATTGTCCCCATCACTCACTGATTAACATTTGAATCTCACAGAATCAATTCTCCCATCCAGTATTACCTTATCTCCTTGCTGTTTTGTGCTTCAGGTGAACTGCCCTCAGCTTAGCCGTGGACTCTGCACACCTCGCATTCGGGGAAATACCTGCTTCTGCTGTGACCTCTACAACTGTGGCAAGTGAGTGTTGTGCCACATGCAAGCAGTAATCGTTTGACTGACTACTTTGGGCACTATGAGAACCAAGGGTGGTGAAGGGTGTATCATGGAGATCAGAGAAGTAGTAGATATTGGTCTGCCATAGATTCCACCCAGCAGGCATGACCTGCCATCTCTGCCAAGCATCATGCTGAATGCTCTCACATACTTGATCTCATTCAATTTTCTTTATGTTTAATTTTTACCTATGAAGTAGGTAGACTTATCCTCATTTTACAGGTGAGGAAAGTGAAGCTCAGAGGAAAGATACAGCTAGTGAAAGATCACATAGAGCTTGAAACTAGTAGAAGTAGGGTTGGAGAGATGCCTTAGCAGTTACTGCACTGGCTGCTCTTGTAAAGGACCTGGGTTCCATTCCTAGCACGTACATGGTGGCTAACAGTCATCCTTAACTCCAATCTCAGGGGATTCAATGCCCTCTTCTGACCTCTAGGCATTGGATGCATGTGGCACACATCCATACATACAGACAAAACACTCATACACATAAAATAACAATAAATATTTAAAAAATTAAATTAAAATAGTAGAAATAGTCATCAAATCCAGCACTGACTGTGTCTAAATTCAACAATTATCGATCACTTTCTCTGTGCCTCACCCTGTTCTAGACACTGTAGATTCAGCAGAGATTAAAGCAAAAGTCTTTGAATTCCCATGGAGCTTATATTCTAGTGGGGGTAAGAAATGAATACATATACCTAATACACAATATACTGTTAGGTGGTGATTAGAGTGCTGAAGAAAAATGAAGCAGGAGTGGTAGATACTAATAAGGTAGAAGTGTGTGTAGTCTGGCGTGGTGGCGCACACCTTTAATCCCTGCACTCGGGAGGCAGAGGCAGGCAGATCTCTGCAAGATTGAGGCTAGCCTGGTCTACATAGTGAGTTCTAGGCCATCTGGAGCTACAGCGAAACCCTGTCTCAAAAAGGCAAAAAAAAGTAAGTGCGTGTGTGTGTGTGTGTGTGTGTGTGTGTGTGTGTGTATGTGTGCATGCTATGTTACACAGAGTAGGCATGGAGTGCCTCTTTGTGAAGGTGCCATTTGTGCAGAGGCCTGAATGAAGCAAGAAAAAAACCCAACAAGATAGCCAAAGAAAGTGTGCTTTAAGCAGAGGGGACAGCAAAATACAAAGGCCCCGAAGCAGTGGCAGTGTTGGTGCTAGTATGCTACAACAATTCAGGCCCTTTGCCTTCTAATCGCTAATACATCATTTATTCTTTTTTCCCAAACACTTAAGTGTTAGGAATACAGATATTTCCACTGGGCAGCTCCCAGACTAGTAGAGAAAAAAAAACATAAACAACCGACATATGAACAGTGTAGCAAGTGCAGTTGGGATAAGTGGCTTTAGTAGGGACTTGGCAGCCTAAACAAATGAAAGGTAGAGTTTATAGTAGAGGTTCGTGTTGAGGAGGTAATCTGGGAACAGAGGTTTAAAGGGTAAGTGGGAATCTAAGAGATAATCTGAAAAGCAAGTAGAGATAGGGAAGAGATTTTTGGCAGTTGTCAGGAAGTAAGAAGTGGAGATAGTTATAGAAAATGATGAAGGCAGAACAGGAATCAAAAGTCAGATGACAGAGAACCCATTGGCCATAGGAAGGACTTTGGCCTTAGCTATTAGGTAATTGGGAGCTATCGAAGGGTGCGATATAGACGATGAACTTGAGCAAGGTAGAGAGTGGAGTCAGTGGGGATGCCCTGAAATAGTGGAGGCTACAGAGACTGGAGCCTAGATCAGGTTGGTTTGGTGGCACTGGAAAACAGGAAGTGTTTTTAAAGAACAGTTTAGAAGGTAGAACTGGTATAATGTGTGAGTGGAAGATGCAGAGTATGAGCAAATACTCCTCCATGGAGGGTGTTGCTATAGCCATGCCTGCCTAGGTACATTCTGTTTTCAGACTCAGTGCAGGAGAATCAAGTGCCAAGGGAGAGGTTCTGCATGGATCTAGATGGAGAGGCCTCAGAGGGAAGCAGTGTACTCTCCTGCATGCTCCTTTACTGTTAGTATTTGAGGACCAGTTTCTTTGGTTTAAGATTTAAGAGCTGACAGGAGGAGAACTCATCCTAAGCCTTTATTTCCTTTGCTAATACCAGCCTAGTTTTCCTGAAAGATTTGACAGTGGAGGAAGAGACATTAAAGACTCAAATGAGGTGTAGGGATTATCTGGGGTGGAGGGGAGATACTCAGTTATTCATGTCGTAGTGATAACTAATACCTATGCAGAATTTCCCTCCATAATAGGGATGATTGAAAGTTGATTATAATTGCACTTCCTGAACCAATCTTCCCAAAACTGATCAAAGGAACATAAATTAAGTCCTGGGGGAATTGGGGTTACATTGCCATCTTATCTTTGGTATCCTCTTCCCCTTCTTCCCTCGTTGTCTTTTTCTCTTTTTCTCGTGTTTTTTCTCTCTCTTTACGTCTTCTTCCCTTCTCTTGTCATCTACCCTCTTCTCTTCCTTGCTGCTCTCCTGTCCATCTGCCTCTCCCTGCCTTCCTCTTCCTTTCTGTTCCATGGCTTTATGGAGTAGGGATTTCTGAGCTTCCAGGAACAAAATGGGGCCTGAGATCTGGAGGAGTGAGAGGGCCTAGAGGAGCGAGCTAAGAAGTGATCCCTTACATGCACACCTTTGTCTCTGCAATGGGTGTGTTTCAGAAAACACACAGGATTAAACACATAAGTTACTTTAAATTCCATTTATCTGAGTCCTCAGGTGAATATTTTCTCTTCTTTTTCTTTTTCAAATGGAGTCTCAAATCCGGTTTATCTTCCTGTTAATCAAAATTTCACAATAACTGACTTGCTTTCTTAAAGCAACTAGTACAAGAGTTATCTTTTTAAAAAGAACTTGATGAGACATACTGTTAAGCTACGGACTTCCAAAGATCAGAGAGTATGATTCCATCTTATCAGAATCGCCTGACCCAAGCACAGGGCCAGGTATGACTAAAGAACTGATGAAAACAGAGTGACAGTTGTTGAAAAGGAGCAAAAACGACTTCCTCTTCACCAGGAAAAAAAAAAAACAGTAGACTAGGCAACTAACATGCTCATGAGAGCACTATTCCTAAAGATCATCAATCCTGGGAATGGCTGGAATCTACTTTGTACCTGGAAGGCAGTCTCAGTCATCCCTCAGTTCCCTTCCCTTCTGCCAAGATCCCCAGGGTAAAGCCAGTAGAAAGGGATTTGCTTAACTTTTCATCAGTTCATAAAGCAGGTCATAAGACTAAAGAGGGGACAAGTCCTTCAGTGAGGGGAAAGATTTTCCCTTGACCCAGAGATGTTTGCAGCCAGAGCAAAGACTTAAACTCAAGGCCTAAATGTAGCTAGCAACCAGCATTTTGAGGCTTGGAGACTTTAATTTTGCCAAATGCATATTTGTTTTCCTCACACGAAGCCTATTTTTAATCAATTGCCAGCTCCTCCAGTCCATTTCCTGGAAAGGAGGCCAAGAAAAAAAAAGTGGGAACAAAAACATCAGGCCATCATTTGTACAGTGCTACAGAAACAGAGTTTCTACTGTCCCCTTGAACCCACAAAGCTTCACTGACGTCATGGGTGGTGAGGTTTTAATACCAAACATAGATTATTCCATTTAGTCTTATGCAGGAAGGTGGCTTTCTCTAGGACATAGCTCCTCAGCAATTGCCTTTCAGAGTATCTCTGTGTTTCATCTACTTATTCATCTTTGGAGAGGTCAAGTCAATATCACTGGTTTTCCGTGTGTAACCTACAGGAAATGAAAGGAAATGGAGTGGTTTGTAAGCTGCCTCAGCTGGGAACAAAATGAAAGAAGACAGCTTGCTTGCATTTGTTACTTCCTTTACTGGGCTCCTGATACATGCCAGGGGCTGTTCTAGACTAGGTATCAACAAGACATAGTTTTACCATTTAAAAAATCAGTTTACCACGGAGGATTGTGGAAGGGGAACTAAAAATGGAGAGAGACAGAGAGAGACAGAGAGACAGAGAGACAGAGAGAGAGAGAGACAGAGAGAGAGGAGAACCGCTGCCCCTCCGGCCAACAATTGCTCTTTATTGAAGAGCAGAAAAGTGACTTCCTGTTTTCCCCAAGATCTGCTGTCATCTCATTTGTTAAGTGGTAACTGAACCACAGGTTATCTGCTTCCCCAGGCCAACCCAGTCAAGAAAGTGCAAGTCCATATTGGGTAATCAACCTCCTAATCAACACAGTGATCGGGCTTTGTACTCAGTAACACGTTTGCTGAGTATAAGCCATGGTCTTTAATATTTCTATCACTCTTGGCATTAAGAGAGATGCATAGAGATGTAATGTAAGAGATGGACCTTGCCTTCAAGTGTTTCCAAGTCTGACAGATATAGTATGGTGGCCTTGGGTTTGGTTGTAGCACAGTACTCAGCACTGAGCAGGCTCTCCATATGTATTAGCTTAAATGAATAACTAAAGACCGACATAGGCAGTGTGCCAAAATAGATAGAAAAGAGTATCTGAGGCTGTTGGTGTTCAGAGAAACATTTAACAAACGGGCTCTGGAGTCCTTGAAGAAGGCACTGTTGAAACTTTGAGTCAAAGAAACTTAGACAGGCAGGGAACCAAAGGCGGTAGCTTCCACGAAAGAGGAAAAATCTGAGCAGAGGTTTTGAGTAAGTGCCCAGAATATCTAGTCTTGGTGTCTAAGAACTGCAGCCTAGCCTGGATTGTGGCAAAAGGGAATTTGGACAATCTTTCTTTCTAAAAATTTTCTTATTACTTTTTAGTTACTCTGTGTGTGTGTGTGTGTGTGTGTGTGTGTGTGTGTGTGTGTGTGTGCGTGCATACAGGTACCAAAGTGCACACGTGGAGATTAGAAAACAACTTGTGGGAGACAGTTTTCTCCTTTCACCATGTGGGATTTGGGTTTAAACTCAGTTCATCACACCTGCCAGCAAGCACCTTTGTCCACTGAGCCTTCTCATCAGCCCTGGACAATATTTTTTTTCTGGAAAGTAATAGAAAGTCATGAGAAAGTTTTGATAAGATGAATAGAATTATATTTTAGGAAGATCAGTCAAGCAGTAGTAGAATCTGGCAGGGGTTCCTTGCAGTCTTGGAGGCCCAAAGGTGGGGGCACTAGGAAGATACAGTTTCAGAGAAGTTTGCCCAGAAAATGGACCAAGTGGAATCATGAATCTCAAACAGAAGCAAACCACATTAATTTGCTAAAACCCTGTATTATAATTAAACATTAACTTTCTTGTGCTTCATGGTTCAGTTTGAGAAGTTAAATGACTGTTGAACCCACTCAAATTGAAATCAACCACATCTTCTGTAAAATGAATACTTTTTCTTCTTTGAAATAATACTTTCATTGCTTCTTTGAGGCAAAATACAATGTATTTTGATCCTATTCAGACACTTCCCAATTTCCTCTCAGATCCACCTCCACTTCCCTAGCCCACCTTCAAGCCCTCTATTACTCTTTTAAGGCTGACTGAGTCTAATTTGTGTCCCCCAAATGCTCTTCAGTGTGGGTCCATCCCCTGGAGCCTTGTCAGCCTACTAGGTGTCACACCCTTAAAGAAAACTGACTTTCCTTCTCACAGAGGCTGTCAATTGCCAACATTTCCTCAGCTAGGGTTGGGGCTTCTTGCTCACCTCCCACCTCCATGCTGGGATTTTGTTTGGCTTGAGCTACTGCAGGTCATGTGCATGCTGTCACAAGCGCTGTGGGTTCATATGTGAAATTGTCCTGTTGTGTTTGGGAAACATGGTTTCCTTGTATTCATCCACCATCTCTGACTCTTATAATCTTCCCACCCCTCTTCTCCAATGATCCCTGAGCTTTTGGAGGAAAGGATGTGATTAGGTGTCTTGTTTAGGATTGAGCTCCTCACAGTCTCTTATTCTCTGCATGGTAGCCAGTTGTTGGTCTCTGTTAATTGCCATTTGCTCTAAGAATAAATTTCTCTTGTGAGAATTGAGTGATGCATTAATCCATGTGTATAGCAACAAGTCATTACAAGTCAGTTTAATAGTATACCCATTTAGCACATTTAGCAAGATAATAGTAATAGGATCTCTATTATGGCCCGTGAGAATGGGATAAAGGGAATTGCATATGCTAGGCAAGTGCTCTACCACTGAGCTACATCTCATGCCCCAAATTTTTATATACTCTTAAACGAGCTACTGACATCTCCATGAGGAGATGTGTGCCTTTAAAGTGTTAATGGTTCGAAGGTCTGAATTGTTCTTCCAGACAGTGGCTCTCGTAACAGAAAAAAAATTGTCTACTTGTTACGTATTAGAGAACTTTCGTGCATATTCTTTTTCAAATTTAATTGTGTGTGTGTGTGTGTGTGTGTGTGTGTGTGTGTGTGATCTAGCACTTGTATAGAGATCAGAGAATAATTTTTATGAGATCTCACCTTCCATCTTGTTGAGGCAGGATCTCTCTTGCTTCTGCTGCTGCTCGTTGGTCCACAAGTTTCCAGCCTCCCATTTCACCATAGGGATGTTAGAATTGCAGATGTGTATCACCACATCTATTTTTAAAAAAATGTGGATTCTGGGTATCTAGCTCAGGTTACAGGCTTGCAAGGCAAGTGCTTTCACCCACTGACCCAAGTACTAGGCCCTTTTGTGCATGTTCTTATTAAATCTCTCAGGCTCAGAGAAGTTAAGAAAGTTACTCAGAGTCTGGCAGCAATTAAGTTACAACCAGGATTCGAATGCAGTCTGACTCCAGAGTCTGCTAGGGCATACTGCCTTCTTTTGTTTTTACATTTTTAAATTTATTTTTATTTTATGTTTATGAGCATTTTGCCTGCATGCATGTAAGTACACCCATGTTGTGCAAGGCCCGTGGAGGCCAGAAGAGGGCGTTAAATCTCTGAAACTGGAGTTACAGATGGTTGTTATTTGCCATGTGGGTGCTGGGAAGCAAACTCAGGTCCTCTACAAAACTGCCAGTACTCTTAACTGCTGAACCATCTCTCCAGCTCTGCATATTGCCTTCTATATACTACTTGCTCACTCTTTGGTAGTCTTAGGAAATAGGCAAAGATAATTGGAGGATGTCAGAAGCTGTCTCTCAAGCCACTATCATGCCCCTATATTCCCACACTTACCTTATACATAGACCTGCCCTTTTCAAGGGATTGTCCCTGTACCGCTATGTCTATTGGGAACTGCAATAATTTGTACAACCTCCCTGCCCCATTACCAAGGTGTAGTACAGTGCCAACTCACAGAACACCCAAGGTTTGCTCATGATTGGGCTGTTCAGACATGATCTTAAAAATATTGAAAACCAGCCAGGTGTGGAGGCGCATGCCTTTAATCCCAATACTCGGGAGGCAAAAGCAGGTGGATCTCTCAGAGTTCAAGGCCAACCTGTCCTACACAGTGAGTTCCAGGCCAACTGGGGCTACAGGGAGATCATGTCTCAAAAAGACCAAAAAATTAAATATTGAAAACCAATTCAAATTCTGATGAATTGATAAACCCTTAAAATTCTACTGTGAAAGTTTTCTATCATTAAAAATGGACTTGCTAAATGCAGAGTCCTACTCCAAGAGACTCTATCAGACTCAGTAGGACTCAGACTGAGCCTAGGATGTGCTCACGCTTTGCCATCTTTTCCTCTAAGACACATGCATATATGCACATATGAGACATTCGAAGCCACATATAAAGAACACACACAGACACATATATTGATGGTTTGCTGTCTGTCCTGTAACCACACTGATTTAAATTCCTTGGAGAAACCAGTCTTAGAGAATCCTAAGATAAATTCGTTTGTAAGATTAAAAAGCCTTTCTTACATGAATAATTTTCCCTGGTTCATTTTGGGGATTAACCTTTGATTTTTGCTTTGTTTTGCTTTGTTTTTCGTTTTTGGTATTCCTATAACAGGGAGGTTGCTGACCCAACTTCCCTCCTTCTTCTTCCCTCCAGGAGGGAATGTTTCCATTAGGAGGAAATAACTCTACAACAGTAGTGGAAAAAATGATCAGTCTGTGCCTTCATGGAATTCATATTCAAGTATGTGAGAAAGAAAATAACTATATAAACACACCAGTAAGCTAATTTTACATAGAAATGATGGCTACTGAAGAATGACAGAAGGGTAATGTGTTAGTCTGCTTGGGCTGCCATAAGAAACTACCATAGACTAGATGGGATATACAACAGAAATTCATGTTGTCACAACTCAGAGTCTGAGATTAGGGTGACAGCAGGGTTGCTTTCTAGTGGTGGCTCTCTGGATCTTCATCTTCTTGTAAGGCTACCAGTTTTATTAGATGAAGTCCCCGCTCTGAAGACCACACTTAGCCTTAATTATCTTCTGAAACCCCTATCTATAAATGCCCTCCCAGTCATCCTTTGGTAAGAGAGGAGGATTGGTTCAAGTTCCAAATCCCCTGCTGATGCAAAACAAATCTCTAGATGCTCAAGTCCATAGTAAAAAATGGATAATATCTTCATGTACATAACCCCCAGACAGCCTCCTTTATACTTTAAATAACTTTTAGGTTAACTAATCCAATGTAAGTGTCATTATATTATTTATGGAACAGTGACAGGACATGGTCTATAAATGTTCAGTACAGACACAAGCTTTTAAATATTTTCAACTAATGGTTGATTGACTCTAAAGATGCAGAATCTGTGGGTATGAGGGGTTACATCTTTCACATATGTATTTGTGGGGGAGGACACAAGTAATGTGCAAGTAATGTGACTCAGAGTCATTGGGCTGAGTGTGGGCATCTTTGGACAAGGGAAGGCCTCTCTAAACACACAATATTCTGGGGTTTTGTGTCATAATTCAGTTTTCTGTGTTAGGATATTGGGGGGGGTGAGGGGTGAAGTTGTTTTATTTGATTTGCTTTGAGAGAAGGGATATTGAAGCATTTGAAGCCTAAATCAGATATCAGCTTTACCACTTATGATGTGGACATATTTCTTAACCTCCCCGAGCTTCTCTTTCTTCATCTGAAAAGTGGGAATGGTAGCCACATCTACCTTGTAGACTATTGTAAGGATTTATAGTGCTGATAGGCCTTGATGTCATAATAGATGAAATGTTCTATAATAGATTCTGTCCAGTCCAGTAACCATTATTTATATGTGGCTATGGAGCACTTGAAATGTGTGATAAGACAAAACATGTAAAAATTAAATGTACTTAATTTAAATTTAAATAGCCACATATGGTTATTAGTTATTGTATTGGACAATAATTGTTATTATTGTATTACTCAATGAATCAACATATTTGAAATGCTTAACACTGGGCCTGCTAGATAGCATGTGCCAATAAACGCTATCTAGGATTAGTGTCAGTGTTAGTGATAGCTACAAGAATCTCTCTGACAGGTAATATTTTTTTTAAAGACAAACAGCAGTCACACTTTAATTTATTGTTATGGTACCCAATCCCCGATGGTGAGGTCAACGGAGATAGCTCAAGTGCTCCTAGGGGACTGACAGCAATGTGCTTCTTCCCATGAAGCAGGGTGGAAATCACCGGTGGGTACTATGAATACATTGATGTCAGCAGCTGCCAGGACATCATCCACCTGTACCATCTGCTCTGGTCTGCCACCATCCTCAACATCGTTGGCCTGTTCCTGGGCATCATCACTGCTGCTGTCCTTGGAGGCTTTAAGGATATGGTAAGGAAGAAAGTGACTTTCCATTTCACAGTAACTTCTCTTTGGGTACAGGGGACAAGGCTAGGATGCTTGAGATAATGGAGATGCATAATTTGGAGGGAGGAAACAGAATGTAGCTGACTTCAAGTATGTCAAGTTAAATGAGGCAGAAATATCATTAATCTGTGTAGATTTGTCATTAACATGAATTTCCTGTGATTTTGAGGCATATTTGGAGAGTGAGGTGGGAGGAAGGGGTTTTTCAGTCCTCCTCTTCACTCTGCTTATGTAAACAACCCATCATACCCTCCTTCCCTAACACTTTTAGTAGAAACTTTTTGGTTAGCTTTCTACTTAAAAGTCTTTGAGAGACAAGGAAGAAAAAAGACGTTTTTTCCCCTGTAGGTAAGCTTAATAATAGTCTGAGCCTCTCCAGGAATTCCACCCTGGATTTTTATTTTTAGTGAAAGCATTCAGGTTCTTTTCTTATTGTACTTGAAGAGTCAGCCCTAGGCTAAGTTGCTTGTCAGGTCTTGCCTTCAACCTCAACCTCAACCTCAATCAACCTCAGCATACTACATTCCTGTTCCTCTCTTTCAAATCTTTTCCACATTTGTGTCCATGTCTGCAAAAGCCCAGGAGCACTTAGCATGCAATACAAGCTTCCTCAGTAACTGTACATACTCTCTCTTTCAAAGCACTTCAAAAAATTTGTTTGCTAAGTTGATAAACTTTAATTGCCAGTTACAAAGCTGTTAGTTTCAAGCTATAGTTATTAATCTGACTTCAGAATTACCTGTTGTATTTAAAAAAATAAGTAAATCCACATGTTTGGGCCTCTTTCCAGACATTCTGACTTAGCTGGTGTAAATGGAAGTCCACGTATCAATGATGTTTAAAGAACCCTCTCCTCGGGTGATTCTGATGTCTAGTCAAGGTTGAGGATCACTGATTTAAAGGAATGTTTCACATATGCTTAGAAAATTACTTTGTGCCTAAAAGGGACTTGCATACTTTGCCTTCACATCTCAATTCCTTCTGTCACCATGGAGAATTATCAAATCCTTCCCTCAGAGAGGTTAGTAATACAAGATTTTAACATTTTTGGCATATTAACTAGCCTATTTCAATTTCAATACCTTAATTTTGAAAGTAGACAAGAAGGACAATGTCTATCTTAACTCTACAGCTCTTTCATTACAGAATACCTATAGCCATTAAACAGCTACTCCTTATTCTGCTTGTCCTGAACCCCAAGAAACCACTAATGTGCTCTCTGTCCTTATAGATTCGCCTCTTCTGGATAGTTCCTATAGCTAGACTAATATAATACATGAAATTCTATGTGACTCTTTTCACTTATCATAATATTAAGTTTTATCTATCTTTTTGCATAGATCACTGCTTTATTTCTTCTAATAGCTGAATAATATTTCATTGTATAGACATACCACATTTGTTTCCCTTTTTATCTGTTGATGGGTATTTGTTTCCACCTTTTGGCCATGGGGAAATGCTATTATGAACATTCCCACAAAAGTATTTGTTGGTATACGTATTTCCAGGTTTTTCATATAAACAGGTTTAACTTTTAAAGGAAGAGCTAATCTGTTTTCCTCAGCAGACATATAATTGTGTATTCCCACTAATAGTGTACAAGGATTCCAACTTCTCCACATCACCACTAACACTTGTTTTTTTTTATTTAATTTTTATTTAATAACCACATACTTAGAAAAAGCATTTCATTACAACAGCATTGACATATTCAATAACAATTTCCAGAGCTAAGATGCATCTCTTTCAAAATTGGATGTAAATCTTTAGGTTTACAGTTCAATTAATACAGTTACACAATATTGTGCTCAGAATAAACCCTATAAGATACAAAATTAAATGAGGTTTTAACATTTAAAAAGATCTTCATTTCATTATTAAATATAGTTTCCTACAGAAAGACTCATTTTTAATGCTGCTTACACTTAGATGTTTGCACATGCATCTCTAATCTCTATGTATCAGGCAGTTATACTTGGATCCTTGGCACCTGAGTATGTCTATGAAGTCATCAGGTAGATTTCAGTGGTAATGTTTATCACCTCTACTAATTAACATGAAATAAAAATTT